TTCTTTCTATCAATGAATGGCCATGATGGTTAATGAAACAAATGAGGTGCAGCCAAAACCGGTTTGGCTCAGTGGATAGAGCATCAGCCTGAGGACTGAAAGGTCTCAAGTTTGATTTCGGTCAAGGGCATGTACCTTGGTTGCGAGCACATCCCCAGTGGGGGGTGTGCAGGAGGCAGCTGGTCAATGTTTCTCTCTCATCGATGTTTCTAGCTCTCTATCTCTCTCCCTTCCTCTCTGTAATAAATCAATAATATATATATATATATACATATATATGTAATATATATGTATATATATATATTTTTTTTTTTTTAAATGAGGTGCAGAGGGACAGGGAAGGTGTGAAATCAAGAGATTTCATCGCCATCCAGGCAAGGAGGAGAGCCTTTCAATTCAAATTAGTCGATTCAAGGTCATGTGGGAGACCTCTCAGGAAACATGTTATGAAAGATTACCGCTTAAAAAATGAAAAAGGTGATAGGAGATGTGCTGTAGTGCAAGAAATGGCATGGGATTAAGAACTGGTCTACAATGATCTTGGAGTTAATGAGCAAACCTTGTTTTCCTCCTCCCTTCTCTCAGATCAAATCTTGGTTCTGAAACGTCGGTTCCCGTAGTCATGGGACTGAGATGGTTTTTGATTTCTCTTGGTTGGATGAGAAAAAAAAAAAATGTAGTTCTGGAGATTGTACAGATAAGCAGTGTTGAGTGCTGGGCCACTTGTCAACTCCGCAGACGCCATAGCGATAGTTGGGGTCCTCAGCAGTGTCCCATGTGCCTGGAGATAAGGTCCCCATCCCAGTATGAATAAAAGGTTCGCTTTAGCTGCTGTGTGACTCCGGGCAAGTTTCTTCACTTCTCTGAGCCTGTTTGTCCATTTGTAACGCGGAGATAGTAATATCTACTCAAGGGATTATGGGTAATGCTGATTTGAAATAACGTTTACAAAATGCTTCGCATAGAGTCTGGGCGTGTAAAGAGCTCAACTCACGAGAGCCATCTGTTCCTTTTCCGTGAATGGCCCGGGAGAACTGAGAAATGCCTACGTCTTCAGGGGTTAGAACTGCAGTTCAGTTCAACAATTACATCGTGGCCACGTGCTAATGTGGTGGTCATCATGCTGGGCAGGTATTCATATTCGTCCAACAAGTATCATGAAGTGGGTCTTGCAGGGAAACAGGTTATGCCATTTGGTGTTTCAGAGCCTTGCACAGTGCCAAAGAGGCACCCACAATTCCACCTGTTCTTTTGCTTCCGAATGTATCGAGAGGTCTTTAAAAAGTGAGCAGAGACAAAGGGGAAGAAGCCCATCTATTATAAAATGTCCACGTGCTGCATGGTTCCAATTCTGTGGAATTCTGCAGACCGCGAGAGGATTGGCCAGTGGTTGCCAGGGGAACCCAGAGAGGGAGGGAGGAATGAGCAGGTGGAGCCCAGGGGATTGTTAGGGCAGTGAAACCGTCCACGTGACCCTAATGGTGAGTCACGTCATATACATCTGTCAAAAGCCACAGAATGTGTGGGGCAGCGAGTGACCCTAATACAAACCATGGGCTTGAGTTCATCACACTGTGTTAATACACAAAGGAAAGATGGAAAAAGTATGGCGAGGGAACATCTAGGAAGTCTCTCTACTTTCCATCCAATTTCTCTATAAACCTAAAATGGCTCTAAAACTTAGTCTGTTCCTTTTTTTTTTTTTTATTTAGAACTTTTGCAATTCATTTCCTCTCCCAGTGCTACCTCCTGGAGATTAGACTCCAGTCTTCGGGCTGGAGTGCATTTCTCCTTCCTGTCTCTAATCTGCTCTGTGTCTCTCTTAATCCCGGCAACTCCATCGAGTAATGTCTTTCCCAATGTCAGGTCCTCAGGGACAGGGGCCATGCCACATTGGTTTTTGTGAGATCCTGTCAGTCTTCCTTTCAGATCTCCCACTGGCTTCCCATTCCAAGGGGAAGGGGGGGTTACATGTGCAGCAAAGCATGATCACACAATGAACATGCCTATGTATCAGCCACCAGATTAAGAAATAGGACACTCCCAGCACCCAGAATCCCTAGGGCAGTGGTCGGCAAACTCATTAGCCAACAGAGCCAAATATCAACAGCACAACGATTGAGATTTCTTTTGAGAGCCAAATTTTTAAACTTCAACTTCTTCTAACGCCACCTCTTCAACACAGACTCGCCCAGGCCTTGGTATTTGGTGGAAGAGCCACCCTCAAGGGGCCAAAGAGCCGCATGTAGTTCGCGAGCCGCAGTTTGCCGACCACGGCCCTAGGGGGTCCTCTCAATTATAACTTCCCCTTTCCTCTCTACATCTAACATCCTCCTGACTTCTCACACATATAATTGCTTTGCCTATTTTTAACTTCATATAAATGGAAACTCACATTACGTACTCTCTTCTGTCTGGCAGTTTTGCTCAATTATGTTTGTGTGAACTAGCCGTATCATATATGTAGCAGTAGTTTATTCACCTTTTATTGCTGGATGGTGCTCCATTGTTCGAATATGCCCAATCCATCCATTTCACTGTTTATAGACATTGTAGGCTGTTTCTGGTTTGAAGCTACTTCAAATACATGCTCATTCTTGTAGATGGACACGTATTTTTTCATTTTTAAAGGAAGGAAGTGATTTAGTCAGGACCACCATAAAATGAGTTGGGGAAATTAAGGCACAATAATATCCAACCAGCTGAGACCGGTTTGGCTCAGTGGATAGAGCGTCGGCCTGCGGACTGAAGGGTCCTGGGTTCGATTCCAGTCAAGGGCATGTACCTTGATTGTGGCACATCCTCAGCAGGGGTGGTGCAAGAGGCAGCTGGTCGATGATTCTCTCTCATCGATGTTTCTAACTCTCTATTCCTCTCTCTTCCTCTCTATAAAAAATCAATAAACTATATTTAAAAAATAATAATATCCAACCCATCGGGCAAGTTCTAAACTTAACCCAGAGATGCCCAAGACCCACGTGCAGCCAAGAGAAAAGGTCCGTGGGGAAGACACGTGCCCCTTGCATGCGGGACGACACGGAGAATAAGGAACAGAAACAAACCTTGTTATTAAGCACCAAATTGCAGAGGCCCAGAGCAGAGGCGACTCTTAGAATCTCCAGGCTACGACCAGACAGCTTAATACCAGGGCTGGATCCCTCGCTCCTGCACACCCACAGTCTGCGACAGGAGAGTCACTCAGAGGCCATGCACCGGGGTGGGGAGGGAGCTGTCGCGTTGGGGGGAGCATCTCTAGACCCTAGCCATCTTCCTGCCAGCGTGGCTTCTTCCCTCTGCCTCCCACGCCGGAGGCTGAGGCTAAACCTGCAGGGAAAAGAGCAACTTCAGATGCTGGTCCTGAGGCGGGAAGGGAGCCAGTGGGGCTTATCAGATGCAGATCTTCCTGCTGATGAGTGAAGTCTGGAAGCCAGCGAAGGTGGGAAGCATGGAGGAGGAACTGAAAATTTGAGATTTGGGATTAGAAAACAGGGTGTGTGGACAGCTGCAGCCAACATCATCATCATCACCATCCCTTAAATTTGTATTACATAAGAGTTTACAAAGCGCCTCTGTTCCCTGACTTCCACAGGTCATCGGGCTGGGCGTAGCAGGACAGGGTTTGCTCCTGTGTTGTTCATCTGCCCAGGAGCATGCTGGGTGATTTGAGCCTTTTTCTTTTCTGTCCCACATATCAAAATCATACAGCTCTTGCCTCCTTTTTTTTTTTTTTTCTTTTTTTTCTTTTTTTAATACTCACCAGAGGATACATTTATTGATTTTTTTTTTTTTTTAGAGAGAGTAAAAGGGACGGAGGGAGAAAAACAAACATTGCTATGAGAGAGAAGTATCAATTGGTTGCTTCCCATATGGCCTGGACCTGGGGATCAAACCCATAACCTAGATATGTGACCTGACCAGAAATCGAACCCTCAACCTAACAAGGCTCCCGACCAACTGAGCCACCCTGAGCGCCGGGTGAATGGATTACTCCGACACAATGTGTGCTGTGAGAGAGAGGCGAAGGGGCGGCTGGCCTGGCCAAAGAGACCAGGCAGCCGCTATTGCCTGCCTCACTAGGCTTTTATTGCCGTTTTATCTCTCAGTTACCATCAGTCCGGTGAGTCAGCTTGAGAGGGCACAAGCATTTGCATTGTCCTCTGGCCAAGGTGCCCAACGATCAGCGAATACCAGGGGTTCTGCCTGTGCACAGACTTCTCTGGAAAGGTCCAAGGGGTAATGGGCGCCTTCGACACTCCCCTAATCGCCTCTAAGTCGGAATTCTGATAAACAGGGCCCGCCGCCTTCCATATTCCCTTTCCTCCGAATGTCCTCCTTATAGCTGTCCCACCGAGTCTGTGTGCTCCCCAAGGCTTTCCATCTGACTTACTTTGCTTAGCGCAATACTCTCCTGACCATGCACCTTGTCATAAACCGAATACTCTCCTGACCATGCACCTTGTCATAAACCGAATACTCTCCTGACCATGCGCCTTGTCATAAATGGCAAGATTGCACCTTCTCCTGGCTGAGCAGTATTCCCTTGCATGTCATATGCCACAGCTTCTTTAGCAAGCATCCAATGAAGGAGAAGACAAACAAAAACAAACAAACAGACTCATAGATGCAGATAACAGAATGGTGGTTACCAGAGGGAAAAGGGTGTGTGTGTGGGGGGGGGGGGGGGGAGGGGGGTCTGGGCTGGGGGAGAGGAAGAGAGCAAAGGGGGTCAAATACACGGTGATGGGAGGAGAGCAGACTTGTCCGGTGGTGAGCACACAATAGGGTATATGTAGATGATGAATTATAAGGTTGCACATCTCAAATTTAGATTCCTATTACCCAATGTTACTCCAGCCAATTAAACACACACAAACAAAGCAGGCTGCGGAGAGCGCGGGGTCAGGACCCTGGTTCCCCTCGGCCGGGTCCGTGGGGGAAGTGGAAGCGGCGCTGAGCCAGGCTGGCCCACGCGCCCCGCGCCCCGGGCGCAGAGGACAAACATGGCCAAGGACCGGGACGCGGCGGCTGCAGAGGGAGAGCCGGGGCGGCGGGCACGGCTCTGCCGGAGGGCCCCCCGCCTCTGGGGCCCGTGGGGAGCCGCCTGGAAGGCGCGCGGGAGCCCGCGGGGCACTCCCCGCCCGGGCTGCGGAGGTAGGCGCCGGCCTCCGGGCCCCGCGCTTGGGGAGCGCGAAGCTGGGAGGGAGGGCGCGCCCCGGGAGCTGGAGCCGCCCCTCCGGGCGCTTCCGGCGCCGCTGTCCCCGCGCCCCGCCGCCCGCCCAGGTGAGCGGGGCAGGGCCACGGCCGGAAGGTGCGGCCCCGCCCGCCGCGGCCCCGCGGGAAAGTGAAAGTGTCGCCCCGCGCGGGCCGCAGGGGGCGGGGCGGCGCGGACCGGGGCGCGGGCGCCGGGCACCGAGGGGCCATGGATGGGCTCGGCCGCCGCCTCCGAGCCAGCCTGCGACTGAAGCGCGGCCGCGGGGGTCAGTGCGGGGCCGGCGGGGCAGGGCGCGGGGGCAGCGGGGGCAGCGGGGGTGCGGGCGCAGCGGGGCCGGGGCCGGGGCGCCCGCTGGCCGCGGGGCGCGGGGCCGGGCCGGCGGCCGGGGGATCGGGCCGGGCTCGGCAGCCGTCCGCCGCGCACCGGGAGGGCCGGGCAGCTCAGTGCGCAGGTGGGTGGCCGGGGCCAGCTGCGGACAGGGTCGGAGGTCAGGGGGCTGCCAGGCCCCCGGGGTGCAGGGGGAGGCGACGGGGCAGAGGAAGCGGCGGTGGGGCCCCAGGGCCACGTGTCCTTCCAGCCAGGAAGCTCGTGGTGAGACCGCAGAGCGCTCGGAGCGCCCTCCGGGGGGGACCCCGCCTTGGCCCGGGCGCCCCCGCCCCGCCCCTGCGCCTCAAATAGCATCGGGTCAGCAACACTGGCCTCCGTGCCACCCACCCCCGCCCCGGGCCCTGCAGAACTGGGGTGGCGCCTGCTCCCCGGCTTCCTTAGCGGGGCCCGGGCGAGCCCCGCTGCCCGGAGCCCTGGGCTGCGTGCGAAGTGGGGATCCCTTCCTCCGTGTCGTGGGGAGTCACATTCAGTCCATGCTCCTTCCTGCTCAGCAGGGGCCCTGCGCTTGGGAAGGAAGGCGATTAGGAATTCATTTATTTTATTTTATTTTTAATCTCATTCATTCTGCAAACATTTATTGCCTCTTCCATTCGCCAGAACCCTCACTGTCCCAGGAGAAAGGAGCTGAGTGTCCGGGGCAGCCCACCCCTCTAGCTGGCAGATCGCAAGGTTGCGTGAAGGAAGCCAAGGTCCCAAGTCCAACCCCCAGGGCTGGGGAGACCTGGGGGTGAAGTCAGTGCTCCTGCCATCGCCCGGCCCTCCAGCCCAGCACTCGCTGTTCTCCCTAACCAGGGGGTCCCAGGATCTGCCATTTCACCCCCACAGAGGCAGGGGGCTCCGAGACCACGGGTGGGGACAGAGGGCTGGACCCTGCAGGGGCCGGGCTGAGTGCAGGGTGGGGCTCCTGGCCTCTCTTCTCTGGTCTCCCTCAACTCCGAGACGTGGGTGTGGGTGAGCGGGGTCTGATCCCTGCAGCCACAGGAGACATTCCAGTTGTTCTCAGCCGCCCTGGCCTCGCAGACAAGGTGGGGATGGTGCCCGGAGGAGCTTCCTGGCGGTTGAAGGACCTCCTGTGCAGTGGCCGGGCACCTGTCAGGCCAGGAGCGTGTGCCCGCCTCACCTTGCCTGCCTGCCATCTGTCCTCCACCTTCCCTGGAAGTTCCCCTCCCTGCAGGGCAGTTGTGTGGTAGGAGGGCATGTGTACACACACACACACACACACACACACACACACATACACACACACACACACGGATGTGTCAGTCATGCTGGCGGGAGGCGTGGCCGTGGGGGCGGTCCCGGGTTCAAAGGCAGGTGAGCTAAAAGAGGAAGGACCAGCTTTTTCAGATGCCGGTTTCAGAAACTCCCCTCACCTATATCCTAGCAGATTCTGGGACTTTCCTCCGATGGCTGGGGGCGGAGCTTCCTGGTGGAGGAACAAGTGTAACCAGACTCCTGACTTCCTTAGAAAGGGTGGCTCCCTCCTCAATTAAAAACCCAGGATCGTCACTGCTCTGGGGATGAAACGGGGTGACCTGTATGACACAGGTGCTCGGATGGGTGTCCTCTCCCCGATGGACAGCCCCCCTGGGGAAGAGAGGAGGAGGGGAAGAAAGGTGTAGCCGCTTTGTTTGCCTGAGTTTATGAGTTTGGCTGCTCTCTTGGCTCTCCTCACAGAGCAGGAAGGAGTGGGCTGCAAACGGCGGCTCGAACGATTTGAGGAAAGGGGTAATTTCCTGAGGTTCTGGAATGATCCGTGAAAAGACACAGGCTCTCCAGGTCCACGGCAAACACGAGGCATCCCACTTGGGTGCGACGGTCTGTGTGCGTGCTGCGTCCGGCACAGAGTTCTCACCATCCCCACCCCCTACGGATGCTAATCTCTGAGTCTCTTTGTGCATAATCTTTGGGTTTCTTTGTGCCTCGGTTTCCCCATCTGCACCTGCAACGCGCTTATTCCTGACAGACAGACGGTGAGGATTGTACAGCAACAAGTCCGAGCAGGTTGCGAGCAAGGAGTGGTGTGCGTTTGTGCTCCAGGATCTGGGTCACTGTTCTCACCGTGGCCGTGTGCGTCACAGCCTTATTTACCTCGACCGGGGCTCTCCCGGAGTCATGGCCGGGCCACTGAGTGTGGCTTTGACTGGTCCCACGAAGGCCAAGTTCAAAGCTCTCCTCTCTCCCACGGCCCCCTGTCTTCAGACACTGGCCTCAGACACGTTGGCCTCCTGGCTTCGGTCAGTCGCAGCTTCCCGGCCAAAGTCCTTGACTTTTACCTTGTGCGTGTGCTCGCTCAGGGGTTGAGGCGAGACTTGTGGGTGACTCATGGCTGCCCTTTCTCTCTTCCCCAGCCCCCAGACACACCCTCCGGCCCCCACGAGGGCCCCAGGGGCCAGGTGCTCCGCTGTTAGCTGGGGCAGAGAGCCCTTGACCTGGCCCGACAGGGAAATAAAAAGGCTGAGCAGGCCTGGCTGCTGTGGCTCAGGGGCTGAGCATCCCCGTCTGAACCAGGAAGTCACGGTCTGGTTCCCGGCCAGGGCACATGCCCAGGTGGTGGACTTGATCCTCAGTGTGGGGCCTGCAGGAGGCAGCCGATCAACGATTCTCTCTCATCGTTGATGTTTTTTGTTTTGTTTTTCTCTCTCCCCTTCTCTCTTCCTCTCAGAAATCAATAAAAATGTATTAAAATACAAAAGACTGAGCAGAAGTGGGGGCGGAGCGGAGTTCCCCCGGTGCTTTCTGCTGTCCCTGAGCGGCCATCAGGCTGCTGATGCAGCCAGTTCCCTCCGGTAGGCCAGGGAGAAAGTCCTGAGTCAGCGCTTCCTATTTGCAAGAGGGACCCTTTGCTGGGACCGGGAACAGGTCCCAGGGAGGGAAGCCTGCCTCGGGAGGCGGCGTTGCAGGGGGGAGAGATGCTGCAGTGCAGACCCAGACCGTCAGGAGCCCTGCGGCTCGGATACTGCCTTTCTCTGCCCCACCAGCAGGAGAGGAGGCTTTTAGGTGCGCCTGGATGTCCAGGCTTCCCTCTTCCTGGAAGAACCGCTCCTTTTCGATGTCACGGAACGGAGGGGCATGCTGGCTGCGCGCGTGTTTGGTCCAGGAAGTTCCAGGTGGCCTTGCAGGGGTCAGGGGCTGCTGCTAACCCAATTGGGAAGTGAAAGGCCACAAATCAAAGCGCTGGGAGGACCCGGAGTCCCCAGTGCCCGCAGCCTGATGCTATCTTCACTTTCCCCCGATGGTAAATAAGCTCGTTGTACAGCCTCTGGCCCAGAAGCCAGAGCCCTGAGCCCAGAAGCAGCTGGGCCGTGGAGGTGTTTGCTTGCGACCTTTTGTCTCACCACACCCCGCGGCTCCTGGGAGGAGCCGCGAGCTGAGCAGCCCTGCCAGGATGCTGCCTGTGTCAGCTCGGGCTTCCTGCCTCCTTCCTGGGTCCTGTCACAGCCGGCTTGCTCACCCATTGGGCGCCCGGGATGGAAATTGCTCTCCCTCCTCTTCGGGACGGCGTGGGGCCCGTCCACCCAGCGCCGGGGGCAGAGGCTGAGGCGGCAGCTCCCTCCGGGGGCTTTCTGTAGCCGGCCGGTCGGCGAGGGCGTGGGCGAGGGCAGCTCCATGCCCCGCAGGCCCGGGACGGTGGAAGGACCGGTGGTAGGCGGGATGCTCAGGCAGGTCCGCGGATGGCTGTCCCGAATCCCAGCAGGTCTGGACTGGATTGCCCATCTCCTTCTCTCCTCGGGTGGCTCTCCTCGGTGGGGCAGTTTCTTCCTTAAAAAACTTCTTTTTCTTCTTCCTTTTATATCTCCACCTCCTCCACCCATGTGACGGCGGAGAGGTCCCCCGGCTGGTTTTCGGAGCCTCTCATACCCCCTGGGGGGTTGGTGTGGTCACGGCCACGTGGCCCTCGGGCCTCTGGTGCAGCAGTGAGCACAGGGCGCCCTGAGGGCAGGCAGTGCCTGGGGCACGGGGCCTCCCCGGGGCCTCCCGGTACATTTCCTCGGCTTCCAGAGCAGGGCTTCCTTCCCTCCCCTCGGCTCCGCGTGGCTGCACATCTCCCAGGGCGGGCGTGGAAACGACCCGGTTGGCTCTGATCCCATCCCAGGGCCTTGGGTGCTGGGCCAGCTCCGGGGACCTCAGGGTGGGCAGAGGGAAGGGGGGTTTGAGGTACTGAAGCTGCCTGGAGCCTCGCAGTCTCCACTCGGGCCTGGACCTTTGAGATCCGAGTGGGCCCCGTGTCTGGTTTCAGGATCCGCCCAGGACGGTCCCGGGGAGGCCGCCAAGGAGCCGGAGCGGGCCCCGGAGCACTGCCTGCCCACCTTCGCCGGAGGCCAGCACTTCTTTGAGTACCTCCTGGTTGTTTCCCTCAAAAGGAGGCGATCAGGGGAGGATTATGAGCCCACAATCACCTACCAGTTTCCCAAGGTAAGGCCTGCAGGAGGGGACGGGTGTGTGTGTGGGGGACACAGAGAGTGGGGTATTTGAGAGGCAACGGGGGTGGGGAAGGGGGGTGCTCCCTCTCTTCCTCCCTGGCCTGGGCTGGCTCTGGTCTGGAGGGGCCCTGAGCTCCCCGCTCTTGTTTCCTGTTATCGCCCACAGAATCTAGGTCTGGCCTCTGTGAGGGAGGAGCTGGCCTAGGCTCCCCGCCGGGAAACTAGGCTAGTTCTTCCCTTCGGGGACCTCCTGGTCCTCCCAGATTCCAGCCCAGTCACCCTTCTCGCTGGAGAAGCTTGCCTTCTGCCCCAGCTCCTCCCAGACCCCCTCCCAGGCTCCTCCTCCCAGGCTCCCCCTCCCAGGCTCCTCCTCCCAGGCTCCCCCGTGGGAAGGAGGGGGGGGCAGCCTGTGGTCACGTAAACACCCGGCTCCCCACTGCCCCTGCCCCGGGCCACTGAGCGTCTCCTTCGCCCTGAGAGCGGGCAGGTGACCGGCCGCCGCTCTTCCCCGAGGGGTTCCCTGCGGGACGGGGTCCTCGCGGGAAGCCCAGGGTCTCGGGCCCTTCTGCATTCAGGGGTGGCCTGGCCCCCTCCCTGACCACGCGGGTCCTCAGGGCACTGACGTCTGACTCAGGTTCACGTGGCCGTGGCCCAGGACGGGCTGCGTGGGCCTTGGGGTCGGTCCAGCCAGGCCCAGAACAAAGCCCCTGCGAGAGCCACAGGCAGAGGCCCCCAGGCCTGGGAAAAGCTTATCCGAAGGCTGTGCTAGAGCTTCAGAAGCAGCCCGCCCTCCTGCCCGCCCTGTCCTGCTGCCCCCTCCCGCTGCCCCTGCCTCCTGCCCTCCCTGATGCCCCTGCCTCCTCTCCCCCCTGCTGCCCCTGCCTCCTGCCCTTCCTGCTGCCCCCCCTGATGTCCCTCCCTCCTGCCCCTCCCTGATGCCCCTGCCTCCTCCCCCCCTGCTGCCCCTGCCTCCTGCCCTTCCTGCTGCCCCTGCCTCCTGCCCTCCCTGATGTCCCTCCCTCCTGCCCCTCCCTGATGCCCCTGCCTCCTCTCCCCCCTGCTGCCCCTGCCTCCTGCCCTTCCTGCTGCCCCTGCCTCCTGCCCTCCCTGATGTCCCTCCCTCCTGCCCCTCCCTGATGCCCCTGCCTCCTCTCCCCCCTGCTGCCCCTGCCTCCTGCCCTTCCTGCTGCCCCTGCCTCCTGCCCTCCCTGATGTCCCTCCCTCCTGCCCCTCCCGCTGCCCCTGCCTCCTGCACCCCCTGCTACCCCTGCCTCCTGCCCCTCCTGCTGCCCCTGCCTCCTGCCCCCTCCTGCTGCCCCTGCCTCCTGCCCCCTCCTGCTGCCCCTGCCTTCTGCCCCTCCCGCTGCCCCTGCCTCCTGCCCCTCCTGCTGCCCTGTCTCCTGCACCCCCTGCTGCCCCTGCCTCCTGCACCCCCTGCTGCCCCTGCCTCCTGCCCCCCCGCTGCCCCTCCGTGCACCATCGGTGAGTCTCCTTTCCTGTCCTTCCAGCGGGAGAACCTGCTTCGGGGCCAACAGGAGGAGGAGGAGCGGCTGCTCAGTGCCATCCCCTTGTTCTGCTTCCCGGACGGGAACGAGTGGGCCCCCCTCACTGAGTACCCCAGGTAACGGCCGGCCCCGAGACGGGGCCTCTGGGATGGGCAGAAGGGCCCGTGTGAGCCTGGGGTTCTGTGGCCCCTCACGTGGCGTGCATGCCCAGTTCTTCCCTGCTTTCCTCCTGGCGGGAGGGGCTCCGTGCATTCATGCATGGCCATCTCGCCCGGGGCCCCTTAAGGCCAAGGGTCTTGGCCAACAGGTTGCCCAGTTGCCTCTGAGCAGAGAGGGGCGTCTCTGGGTTTGACTCTGCCACTGGCAGCAGCCGGACTTAGACAAAGGCCGGGGCCTCTAAGAAGGCGACGGAGCAATGCCCCTTCCAGCGGGGGCCCTGGGACCCGATGGTCTGAGTTCGAGTTTTGGCTGCACGCTTAGGAGCTCATGGCCCTGGCATAAGAAACGCCCTCTCGGCCTCCGTTCCTTCAACTGTACAGTGGGGAGAACAGCCCTGACCGGTGTGGCTCAGTGGATAGAGCGTCGGCCTGCGGACGCAAGGGTCCCAGGTTCGATTCCGGTCAAGGGCATATGCCTTGGTTGCGGGCACATCCCCCGTGGGGGGTGTACAGGAGGCAGCTGACCAATGTTTCTCTCTCATCGATGTTTCTAACTCTCTATCCCTCTCCCTTCCTCTTCTGTAAAAAAAAAAAAGTCAATAAAATATATTTAAAATATTTTTTATTTATATTAAAAATATAAATAAAAATATTTTTAAAAATCAATAAAAATATTTATTGATTTAAAGAATCAATAAAATATATTTATAAAAAATAAAAATAAAGTGGGGAGGACGAGCCAACCGACCTCAGAGGCTGTTTTGAGAATTCGGTGAGATGGTGCCTTTGGAGGTTGGCACCGATAAGCACTCACTTCCTGGCACTAGTACCCCTCGCCTGGCCGGTCAGCAGCTCCTGGGTCCTCCTCGCTCCCCCTCGGCACCCCCCATGCCATGCGCCTCCCTCTTCCGCAGTCTGGGAGAGGGGGGGGTGCAAATGAGAGTCTCGTCTCTCCTCCTCAGGGAGACCTTCTCCTTCGTGCTGACCAACGTGGACGGGAGCAGGAAGATCGGCTACTGCCGGCGCCTCCTGGTCTGTGCCGCTCAGAACTGTCCCCTCCTCTCTGCAGCCGCTGCTCCTCAGCGGGCCGGCTCCGGCCTCCGCGGCCCAGGCTGGGCCCTGGCAGGGCGGCTGTAGAGAGCACGGCCCCGCGCCCGCTGCCATGTTAGTGCCCTCTGCAGCCTGCACAGCAGGACGCGTGCCCACCTCGCCCGCCTGCCCAGAGGCTCCTACGGGCCTGGCGGTGGAATCTGCGCTCCCCACGTCCCCGCCCGGGAGCCCCCGGAGCAGAGACCGGGATTCGAACACTGCTCTGGGCTCTCAGAATGCTCAGTGTTGTCCTCCCTCACCATGCCCCCATCCCTGCAGCACGCTGGTCCCCTCTGTTTGCCGACCCCCCCACGATGGCAGTGCTTGCCTGGGAGCCCACCAGTCCCCCTCATGGCCACTTGCTTTTCACTTTGGCGGCTGCTCTGGCCTCCTGGCGCCTCTCCAGGCCTTCCTCCATCCGGCTCCCCTGTCACCACACGCCCCCCAGCCGCCAGCTTGGCCCCATTGTCCCCGGGCGGGTGGGCGAGGGCCTGGGGGCCGTGGGGCTGAAGGAGGCTCTCTCCCCCGCAGCCCGCCGGCCGCGGCCCTCGGCTCCCCAAGGTGTACTGCATCATCAGCTGCATCGGCTGCTTCGGCCTGTTCTCTAAGGTAGGCTGGCCGGGGCCCCTGGGCTGCTGGGCCTGTGCCCCGAGGTGGGGCCGGAGTGGGGTCGCTGGGCTGCTGGGCCTGTTCTGCTGCCCGGCTGCCTGCCCTGCCGGTGCTCCCTCAGCCTCAGCGAGTGTCTCCCTGCCAGGGGTCAGGCGAGGCCCCGGTGGGGGAACTGAGGCAGAGAGGGGCTCGGGCTGGACCTGATTCCACAGGAAAGTGAGACCTGAACGTGGGGGACCATCTCCCCTGCCCAGAGCCCTGGGGTCCCACTCCTCCCGCTCGCGTCTGGCCAGAAAAGCAGCTGGAGGGACAGGGAGGAGCCCAGGGGAGGAGTGGGGAGATTTCCGTGTCTTGGTCTGTCAGATGCATAGCTGACCCGCACCTTCCTGTGCCACTTCCTGTGCCACGGGTGGTGTGAGGCTCAAGCCAGGTGACCTGCGAGCTCCAAAGAGAGATGGAGACGGTTATGATGCGATGCTGGGCCCGTCCAGGGCCTTCCAGGGAGGCCAGGCTTCTGTGGGAGCTTGCTGAGAGCCACACTCCCCAGCTGGGATCAGAGGGCCCTCAGAATGGAGGAGGCGGGGCTTGGTGGCCACGCAAGGGGCTGGCGTGCTCTGCCCCCCGCAGGCCCTGGGAGGGTGAAGGCGGGGACGCGGTCAGCCTTGCTTGGGTGGAGCATGCATTCAGGGGGACAGAGGCTGCCCTGGCCCCGGGCAGTATCCAGCGAAAGTTGGGGGGCAGAGAGGTGCCCAAGAGGAACCAGCCTTTTTGGCCCCCGTTCCAACCACCGCGATGAATGTGGGGTCACGTGGATGAGGTGGTAGCTTATGTTGAGATTCGGAGAAGGGAGGCATATGGGTCAGTCGAGGGAGAAGGAGAAGAAGGCCAGGAGAAAGCAGCAGACTGGTCTGCGCCAGGGAGGAGAGAGGACCAGCGGGGGAGGGGCAGAGAAGACACGGGAAGATTGGCTGGACCCGCCGGGACCCCACGCCCGGGGTCTCTGCCTCACACACACCCGGGCTCTCTGCCTCACACACCCCCGGGGTCTCTGCCTCGCACCCGGGGCCTCTGCCTCGCACCCGGCTCTCTGCCACCCTCCCCATTGCACCTCTGAGCCCGCTCCGGCCTCTCCCGCAGATCCTGGACGAGGTGGAGAAGCGGCACCAGATCTCCATGGCCGTCATCTACCCGTTCATGCAGGGCCTGCGGGAGGCGGCCTTCCCCGCCCCCGGGAAGACCGTCACCCTCAAGAGCTTCATCCCCGACTCGGGCACCGAGGTGGGTGCACGGGGAGGGGAGAGGGACCCTCTGGCTGCAGGGGGCAGGCTGCGGGCAGCGCGGCTCCTCCCAGGCCCTCATTCCCTGGTTAACCTGCAGACACACAGCCAGGCGGGGCCCCGGTCTGGCTTGAATTATCGTCAGAGCTGAACATCAAACGCAAATTTCCCCATCCATCCTCCCAGCGGGCGGCTCACCAGGCCCAGTCACTCACTCTTCAAGCCACCGAGACTTTTGTTTGTGATCAACAAGCCACGTAGGCCGAGGTTCCTGGTGATAGGTGGACTTTGCCCCCAGCCCCCAACCTGCCAGGGGCCCCCACACCCCACCCTCCTCCCTCGGTGTCTGCACTCTATCTCTGCCCCAGGCCTCCAGCTGTGCCCTTCTTATCACCATCCCCGCCCCTGGGTCCCCACCCAGGCCGGCGGGGTGCCGCTGCTTTGAGGTAGAACATTGTTTTAGGAATTCCAGCGCTGACCCCTGTTCCTCTGGGGAATCGGTGTCCCTCTGAGCCTTGGCTTCTCCTAGAAAATCAAGGGGGTAGGGGCTGAGCTTTGTCACTTGCTCAGAAAACAAGTAGGGGGTGTTTGCTGGGCCCCGAGCGGATCGATTTCCTGGCTGTAAAGCGGTGACTACAATGAACCTGACCTCCTGGAGCTAAATGTCTAGCTGGGGAGACGGACGTTCAATAAGGAAACAGACAAATGAACAATTAAAAATTGTGTGATCTGATGAAAGGGGGAAACCAGGATGCTACCGAGAAAGGATGGAGAGTACACGTTGCTTTAGGTGGCCAAGGAGGGCCTCTGAGACTGGGGGTTGGAGGTGGAGGGTGAAGGAGAGGCGGGGATGAAGGAAGAGGGTCCAGGGGCCTCACCTGTGCAATACGTCCAGCCAGAAAGAGTGTGACATGCTCGGGGCACAGGAAGGAGGTGATGGGGGAAGCGGACCAGGAAGTGGGTGGGAGGCAGGACCTCGTGGGCCGTGCCCGGGGTGACATCAGTGTGAGCCCCGGGCAGAGGGCCACCTCGGGAGGGTGTAGCACGGGAGAGGCAGGATGGGGCCCAGCGTCCTGGGGTCTGCGTGAGGAGGCTTCGGTGCGATGACGCCCTCTCTGGTCTCCCCAAGTTCATCTCCCTGACGCGGCCCCTGGACTCCCACCTGGAGCACGTGGACTTCAGCTCCCTGCTGCGCTGCCTCAGCTTCGAGCAGATCCTGCAGCTCTTCGCCTCGGCCGTGCTGGAGCGGAGGATCATCTTCCTGGCCGAAGGGCTCAGGTGGGTGTAAGGGGAACAGCTGGGGGGCCCCAGAGGAAGCCGGGGTGTAGGGCCCGTGTGCGCGCCCTCCTGCCTCCGGGTCTTGATCTGCACTCACCTGCCTCTGCCCTCCAACATGCTTGCTGCCTCGGCCTGAGGAGGCCTCTGACACGGCCGGACGTGTCCTGGGACGGCCCAGGCGGAGAGCGTCAGGGTGGATGCAGATGGGACTCTGCTCCTGACAGGCTCAGGGCAGGAAGGCACGCAGTGGTATGGAGGTCAAGGCCATCCTCCTAACGGCAAGCACATCTACCATGCACTCGCTCATTCCACAGACACGCGTGTGTGACCTGTATGTCGGATGCCAAGCATTCAGGAGGACACAGGCAGACCACGTCTTTGACCTGAAGGGGATGCAGAGTTCTGTAATGGGTGGAAGCGTAGGTTGTGAATCAGCAGAAAGCGGTTCAAGTCCTATTCTTAGCTACATGGTTCCCTTAAACTAGCTTTTTTTTTTTTTAAATTATTATCTATTTTATTGATTTTTTACAGAGAGGAAAGAAGAGGGATACAGAGTTAGAAACATGGATGAGAGAGAAACATCCATCAGCTGCCTCCTGCACACCCCCCACTGGGGATGTGCCTGCAACCAAGGTACATGCCCTTGACCGGAATCGAACCTTGAGTCTGCAGGCTGACTCTCTAGCCACTAAACCAAACCGGTCAGGGCTTAAGCTAGCTTCTTAACTTCTAAAAGTCGTCATCTTCTTATCTGTAAAATGGCGAAAGCGACTGTCTGTCTCATAAGGTTGTGGTGGGGATTGAGTGAAATAGTTCACGTTAGGCAGCTAGCACCCTGCCAGACACAGTTTTTAGTAGGTGTGAACTGTTATCCTTTTTTTTAAAAAAAAAAAAAGTTTCTTTGATTTCTGAGATAAAGGGAGAGGGAAAAGAGAGAGAGAAACATCTATGAGGAGAGAGAATTGTTGATTGGCCACTGCCTTCCCCTCCCTACCACCCCCTGCCCCAAGGGGGATCAAGCCCCCAACCTGGGCATGTGCCCGGACTGGGAATCAAATCATAACCTCCTGGTTCATAGGTTGACACTCAACCACTGAGCCACACCGGCCGAGCTGAGCTGTTATCATATTAATAAGCTCGCAGTGGAGTGTACCCCTGTGTGTTGTGGAGGCGGGACATTGCCACGTCTTGGCCTCTACCTTTAGGGCCTTTGAGTCTGAGAAAGACAAGGAGAGACATGACAAGACGGAGAAGGAAAAAACAATCTCAAAGAGCTGGTGGGTGGCCTTCTGTTCGTGTCTGCGGAGGGAGAAAGCGGATGATGCCGGCTGACCACTCGGGCTCTGACTTTCAGGGAAGAGGAAGGACAGGATGTTGGGGACCCAGCTCTCAGGCTAGCGGGGGTCAGGTGGATGTCATGGCGCCCAGAGAAAAGGAAGCTCAGGCTGGGAGTGGGGTCTGTGGGCTGAGCATGCTATCGAGGTCAGTGTCAGCAGAAAGGCACTGGTTGTGAGCTAGTCCTGAGGGAAGTGGTGTAACCTTTGGCTTTGGAACCAGCTTTCCCCCGCTCAGCCCTGCAGGGGAAGACGTCTCTGTGTGGCTGGAGCTGGGGTGCTGGCCTTTCCCCCTAAGAGTGGAGCTTGGGAAATGAACGTGACCGCACGGGTCAGCTGGCCGGACCGGGGCTAGGGCCAGCGGGACTTCCCTCTCAGGCGTTGACCTTCTCCAGGGAGATCCCACCTCTCCCCACTTCCTTCCCACACCATCTGTCAGAGCCCCGAAACGCAGGGCTGGGGGGCGGGGGGGGGGGTGGCATTTCCAGGCAGCCTCGGCCTTGGCCGGCTCTCTGAGCCGGTCTCTCACGGGGAATGCTGGTTGATACCAAGAACTGGAACAGGGTTTCTGCATCCGTGTTTTGATTGGCTTTGGCGTGGGGGGCACCCAGGAGGAGTGAGGAGCCGTGAAAGCTGGCGGGGGACAGAGAGGAGAGAGGGTGGGCTGTGTGTGAGTGAGAGGCAGGAAGTGGCCCTGCGCGGGGACCAGGCAGTGCTGGCCCAGGGGCTGCTTCGTAGAAAAGGCAGAGCCCTCTGCGGGACTTTCCGGGAGGAATTGCTGGGCGAGGTTCCGGGAATCCAGGAATTTCCCAGGCAGACTCAGCAGCAACCTGGAATGGCAGAGGGAGCTGGGGAGGGAAGCCACTGGAGAGATGGGAGGAAGCAGGCCTCCCTCTCTGCTGCCCCGTGTTTACTCATCTGCCTCCGCAGCTGCCCTCCGAATGCCTTAGAAGCAGGGCCATGCTGAGACCGGTGTGGCTCAGTGGGTAGAGTGTTGGCCTGCAGACTGAAGGGTCCCGGGTTCGATTCCGGTCAGGGGCATGTACCTTGGTTGTGGGCACATCCCCAATGGGGAGTGTGCAGGAGGCAGCTGATCGATGTTTCTCTCTCATCGATGTTTCTAACTTTCTATCTCTCTCTCTTCCTCTCTGTAAAAACTCAATAAAAAAAAATATATATATATATATATTTTTTTTCTTTTTAATTTTTTTTTTAAAAAGAAGCCGGGCCCTGTCTCCCAGATCCTGGCATCCACATAGGTAGGACCGTGCTGAGCGCCCAGAAGGGGCTCCATCCGGGGAGGCGTTTCTCCCCGCTCCGCTCCTCAGAGCCGCTTTTATTGCTGGGACGTCTCATGAGGAATCAAGGCCCAATGCAGGCCCATCCCGCCGCTGCCCCTGCCTTCCAGCTGAGAGGCGTCACCGGGACCAGCGTGGCCCCGGCCTGCTGCACCGCTGTGGTGGGCGGTGGGATGGGGGTGCCGGGGTGGGCGCGGGAGGCCCCTCTAACCCTCGTCTCCGTCGCCGTCCCCAGCACCCTGTCGCAGTGCATCCATGCTGCCGCCGCGCTGCTCTACCCCTTCAGCTGGGCGCACACCTACATCCCCGTGGTCCCCGAGAGCCTCCTGGCCACCGTCTGCTGCCCCACGCCCTTCATGGTGGGAGTGCAGATGCGCTTCCTGCAGGAGGTTCTGGACAGCCCCATGGAGGAGGTAGGACCAGCACGAAGACGCCGTGCCTCGGGCCGCTGGGCAGACCTGGGGTCGGAGCCCGGCTCCGCTCCTCGGGGCTGTGCGATTTGGGGCAAGTGGCTGCCCCTGGGTAAGCCTGAGCGGCTGCTTTTGTAAAACGGGGGTGACAGGCGGGAAATCACTTGCATAAAGCTCCCCGCCTGAGGCCCGACACATAGTTGATGCTTCATAAGCATCAGCTCTCTGCTCCCGAGCCATTTTCCATCGGGCGTCCAGCACGGTGCTCACTGAGGGGCCGTCTGCCTGTCCTGGGCCAGCGGGCCCCCCTGAGCGGGCCCTGGGCGTCCCCGGCCCCATCTGGAGGGAGAGCACAGCTGGCTTTCACAGCGCACAGCCCACTGGAGCGCCCTCACATTCCTGGGGCCTGAGCTCACTCCTGCAGCCCCGCTGAGAGCGGAGCCCTGACCCAGCAGATCTTCGGAGCAGGGTTGTCTTTCTGAGTGGCTGAGAGGTCAGCTGGCAACCAGGAGAGAGCCCCTTGGTGTTGTCAGTGGCCCCCAAACGGGCGTTCGTAGCATGCATCCGTCTCTCGTGTGGGAAGGACAGCTCAGAACACGTGTCCTGCTTGGAGCGGCCAGGAGGGAGAGCATGTCACCTCGATAGAGAAGAGGGGATGTCTGCACTGCCTAACCTTGACTCTGTGCGGACCAAGGGCCAGCCCCGGGGAGAGGCTAGAAGCAAGCTGCTCAGAGGCCCGGAGCCAGCCCTGGGGGGAGGCCCCCCATTTGCAGGATGTAACAGAAGCCGGAGAACTCCGTGGGCATTTCCGAGGCCACCCAGGGACGTAGCACAGGGAGCGGAACCCAGGGCCCTCCTCCACGGAGCGCTGCTGGGGAGGAAAGACGTTTTCCTCCCGTGCTTCCTGGCCCTCCCAGTCCTTCTCAGAAGTGCTGAGTACACACGCCCTTTGAACGAGCCTTTGCCTTGTGACTAACTGGGACAGGGGAGCAGCCCGCGTGTAGCAATAAGACTCCGGTGTCCCAACACCACCAGTTGTTATGAAACTTCCTGACGCTGCAGCCCAGCTTCTCAGAAGCTGTGGCTCCTCCCCGGGCCGGCCCGGCAGGAAGGCATCCCGAGGCCAGTGGGACTGGCTCCTGCCATCCCGGGGCCCGGGCCTGTGTTCCGCCTCAGCAGCTGCCCTGGCTCCTGCCATCCCGGGCCCGGGCCTGTGTTCCACCTCAGCAGCTGCCCTGTGAAGGGGCGAGGGGAGGGGGGCAGGGAATAAGCTCTCTGGAAGGGATTGTTTGGCAGTAATAGACCCACACACTAGGAAGATTTTGGGGCACGACTTCACAGAAACATTCCTCACCCACAATCTGAGCTCCCAACCCCCCCGAACAAACAGGCTTCCCTGCGCGAAGGCACCTGAGCCCGTGTACACAGGGGTTTCAGGCCCGGGCTAGTTCGGCGTTTCTCCCCTGAGGACGGGTAATTACAGAGCCGGCTCTGTCTCCTGGCACACTTGCCAGTCCCTCTTTCCCCTTTTATTTGGAAGAAGGGAGCACGGAGGGATCATTCACCCCATTGTCACGAGCAAACGGAAAAGAGGAGTCCAGCAGGCATTTCGGTGACCAGCAGGTGTGGGTGCAGGGCTAGGGGAGGGGGTTATGCCCCAAGGGGGGCAGCCGCACTCAGTTCTCTCTGAATGTTGTCCTTTAGAAATGAGAGCCAGTGTTAGACTTCCTGACTTTTTAAAAATATTTTTTAATTGATTTTTAGAGAAAGAGAGGGGGAGAGGGAAAGAGAAACATTGATGTGAGAGTGAAATATCGATCGACTGCCTCCTGTGCACTCCCTAATGGGCATTGAGAGCTCAAACCCAGGCGTGCGCCCTGACCAACCGGGAATCTAACTGGCAACCTTTCGGTGCACGGGATGGTGCTCAACCACCTGAGCCACACTGGCCAGGGCACAAACTCCCTGACTTTGGAAGAGAAGCCCCCAATCCAAATTTTATGTGAAATATTCCAGTGCAAACATTGGAAATGAATTCCATTATTTGAGAATGCTCTGAGGATCGAGGAAACAGATCTGCAGGTGGGGATCCAGCCAGTGGGATGTCTGTTTTTGTGGTCTGGTCTAGACAGAAGGCCCCTCAGGCAAGTGATGGAGCCGGTACCAGAGCTCAGGGCCCCTGAATCCCAGGCCCCCTAGTTCCAGCTCCGTGCTTGTCCCACCTGCAGCCTGCAGACACCTGGTCTCCTCACTGCCTTTCCTTCCCTCTCCCTGATGACCCCGCGCTCATTTCCTTCTCTCGCTGTTTCGCTAAGCTCTGAGGGAGTTTCTAGGCTGTTGCAAGAATGGGGAGGTGAAACCAAGCTGACCAGAGGGAGGGAGCTGAAGGGGCGTGTGGGGAGCGGGGTGCTGTCCTGAGGCCAGGCACTGGAGGCACAGCCTCTGGCTCTGCTTTGTGTTAGCAGCGGGACCCAGGCAGCCTCTGTGAGGGGGGTCAGTACATGCCTCCACAGGACTGCTGGGAGGATTACACGCCATAAGCGTGCAAAGCAGTTACCTTGTTCTCCTTGTCCCACATTTAGAAGCAGTTAGTCTACTCCGAGCTTCATGAAGGGAGTGACCAGCCATGGTTTGCTCATCATTATTCCCCCTTCGACCTCCGCACCCTCCCATCCCTCTTCCTATTCCCTCACACCCTTTCCCCAGGAAAGGGACTGAGGTTTCCAAACGGGAATGGGGAGAAAGGAGTGTTTGACTGAAACAAGTATTGCAGATGCTGGTTTGCTTGCTTCTTGGGCTGAGATGGAGGAGGCGGGGCCTCCAGAGGTCTGTAAGGACGGGGGAAGAGATAATTCTGCGTTTATTGCAGGTCCTGCTGGTGAATCTTTGTGAAGGAACCTTCTTAATGTCAGTGAGTATCTGGGCTCAGACCCCCTGCAGGCCCTCCACCAACCCAATCACTCAGGTCTCACCCGTGCTCCATGCGGTTCCACTTAAGTGCTTTTGCTGAGCGAGAACCCCTGCTAAGGGGGCCCACGGCAGGCGAAATCACAGAAGGCCGACCTCAGGGCAAGGCAGTTAGTGTCCGTGCCTTGGAGCAGGGGTTCCAACAGGAACCACGGGGTGGAGGGGAGACTTGTTGACACTGAGTCCGGCTGAAGGCCAAGAATCGGCTTCTGTTGTTCTCTCCTACATGGCCGATTCTCAATTTGGGGGTGAGTGGGGGCGCAGACACAGCCTCCTCTCTGCTTACACCCCACTTCACACCTCCTCCCCGACTCTGCCCCTGACTAGGTGGGTGACGAGAAAGACATCCTACCTCCCAAGCTTCAGGAAGACATCTTGGAGTCTCTCGCTCAGGGGATGGAGGAGCAGCAGAGTAAGTCCTAGGCCCCCTTCTTCTGGGGGGCCCCAAGGCCCCCGAGGACATGATTCCCAAACAGCCCCTCTGCTCAGCGGGCCTGGGCCAGTCCCAGAGGCCTGGGTCCGAGGGCAAGCCCGAGTTCTTATTCTTCCTAAGCCATGGTAGAGAACCCATCCCCAGCCTCCCACCTTAAATATATATATTTCTATTGATTTTGTACAGAGAGGAAGAGAGAGGGACAGAGAGTTAAAAACATCGATGAGAGACAGTCATTGATCAGCTGCCTCTTGCACGCCCCCCCACTGGGGATGTGCCCGCAACCAAGGTACATGCCCTTGACCGGAATCGAACCCAGGACCCTTCAGTCCACAGGCTGACGCTCTATCCACTGAGCCACACCGGTTTCGACCAGCCCCCCACCTTAAAGAGCCCATCAGTCCCGCCCCCACCCCCGAGCGCTCAGGCTGCCGGGACACCCCTCAGAGACAGAGGTGGGCCGTTCGTCCTCCTGCCCCTCCCTGAGCGGGGTCTCTGTCCCCGCAGCCCCGGAACAGATCAACGAGCACGTTTCGGGCCCCTTCGTGCAGTTCTTCGTCAAGACCGTGGGCCACTACGCGTCCTACATCAGGCGGGAGGCCGGCGGGCGAGGCCGCTTCCAGGAGCGGGCCTTCTACAAGGCGCTGCCCTCCAAGGCCAGCCGCTGCTTCGTGAAGAAGTTCGTGAAGACGCAGCTCTTCTCGCTCTTCATCCAGGAGGCGGAGAAGAGCAGGAACCCGCCTGCAGGTGCGGCACGCCTCTGCGCCCCCGGGGCTGCAGGTCCCTGGGCCCTGGGTGGGGGGGAAGGGAGGAGGGGATTCCCTCTGGAGGCCCCAGGATGGCTGGGATCCTGGCGCTCTACCCTCAGGCGCAGGAGGCCCTGGTGCTCTCTCCTTCAGGCACAGGAGGCCCTGGCAATCTCTCCTTCAGGCGCAGGAGGCCCTGTGCTCCTTGAGTCTGGAGCTAATTATGCTTTGCAGGCCCCTGTGGGGGGCTAATGGGATCCTGGGTCTCCAGAGGCCTGTGAGGGTCTGGGAATTCCTTGAGAATGTGGGGATAGTGGGGTATGGGGAGCAGGCAGGAAGGGGATTCCACCCCCCCCCCTTTTAAACTTTTTTTTTTTTTTAATATATCTTATTGATTCTTTACAGAGAGGAAGGGAGAGAGAGAGAGAGAGAGAGAGAGAGAGAGAGAGAGCTAGAAACGTCGATGAGAGAGAATCATCGATCAGCTGCCTCTTGCGCACCCCCTACTGGGGATGTGCCTGCAACTATGCCCCTGACCGGAATCGAACCCGGGACCCTTCAGTCCGCAGACCAACGCTCTACTGATGAGCCAAACCTGTTTCGGCCCTTTTAAACTTTTAAAAATTGATTTCAGAGAGGAAAGGAGAGTGGGAGAAACATCCATGATGAGAATCATAGATCAGCTGCCTCCTGCACCCTCTCCTCCGGGGATGGAGCTCACAGCCGGGACCTGTGCCCACACCTGCGATCGAACCATGACCTCCGGTTCCGAGGTCGCCACCCAGCCACGGAGCCATGCCCGCGAGGCCAGAAAGGCTGTTTCTGACCCTCACCCCCGAGCTCCTGCGTCCGCCCAGCCAGAGCGCAGCCTCTCACACCTGCTTCTGACCCCACAGGCTATTTCCAGCAGAAAATCCGTGACTATGAAGAACAGAAGAAACAGAAGAAGTCGAAGGGAAAGTCCGTGAAATAGGAACTGTGGCGAACGGGAGTGACCAGACTTACAGGCCAGTGGTGGACTTTGGCCCCTGCCAGCACGGCAGGGTCGGCGAAAGCTCTCCGCTCCCGCACCCAGTCTTCTCCTGAGTCCTGGGAGCCAGGTCTTGCTTCGAGCTGGCGTCTCGAGTGTGGGGTCCCCGGAACCTGCTTCCTCAAGACTTCGGAAGGCCCTGGCCTCTGTGCTCAGAGCGGGGCGCACCTCGTGCAGGGGGACAGAGCGGGGGGGACGCAGAGCGGAACAGGAGCACGGGTGGCTCAGACACATAAGAGTTGCTGGAACCGCCCCTCCCAGGAACCACTAACAGAATCCTCCGGAGAAAGCAGCTGCGGCCCGAGGGCTCCGGCTCTCCACGCGAAAAGCAAGGACCGTGGACACGGGAGGATAAGAATAAAACGAGAACTTCCTGTGGTTTCTCTGTGTCTTTGACTTGCACTCTTGGGGGAGGAGCAGAAAGACAGGAATAGACGTGAGGATGAACTGGACCGCAAGAGGGGGACCGGGTGCTGGTGGCCAAGTTCTGGGGTCGGCAGCTCCCCCGCAGCGGGAGGGGTCGGGCACAGGTTTACTGGCAGCAGCACCGGATGGGGCAGGCGTGCTTTCCAGGTTCCTGGAGGAAGGGCTGGGAGCCAGAGGGCAGGATTGTGGCCTGGGCTCACGCAGGGCGGGAATGTCAGTGAGCAGGATCCAGAGGCGTCCATAAATAGGCTTTGTCCACCCACCACCTCGTTTGGAAGCTCTGTTTTCAACATCCTACTTCCTACTTGCTATTTTGGGAAGCCCAGTCCAACCCTTCAGCTACAGGTGGAGGGAATCATGCACTGACATTTTCTTCTCTTGAGGAAAGAGAGCCGTAGAGTCGGAAGTTTAGGGGTCCCCTAGTCCCCTCTCCCTCCACACCTCGCATACCTTCTGCAGAAACAGTGGAAGGGACAGGGAACATTCAGGAGCATTTTGTTTAAGAATTGCATTTTTAAATTTTTATTGTGCAACTTCAGAGAGGGAGACGGATAGAAAAAAACATCAGTGGAGAGAATCATTCATGGATCAGCTGCCTCCTGCAAGCCCCACGCTGGGGACCGAGGCATGTGCCCTGACCAAGAATTAAACTGAGACCTTCTGGTTCATAAGACAACACTCAACGACTGAGTCATGCTGGCTGGGCCAAGAATTGCATCATTTTAGTGTGTGTGTGTGTCTGTGTGTGTGTATGTATGTCCCTCAAAGGTCCCTGAATCCTACACCAAGAACACAAATGTCTTTGAAAGGCGGGACAGGGTAACGATGGCAACAACAACAACAAAAAAACTATCAGGAGAGGAAAAGAATACAGTCCTAGGTTTTAAGTTGAATAATTTATACAAAACAGAAAGGTCACAGGACAGAACGACAACGCGGCTGACCAAATTTTCTTATTTATTAAAGAACAGAAATCAATTTTGCTTCCAGTTTGAAAAATGACATTAAAATGTAGTTTTATTTTTCCAGTGAATAAAATTGAGAAAAACGCTGGCTTTCAGATCATATATTTATTTAAAAAAATAAAATGAATCGACAAAGGTACATTATTCCGCATGCTGACAGGGTTCCCAGCCCACGAGACACTCCGCTTCTTGAGCAATAAAAAAACGACTTCCTCGACAGTGTCAAGATAGGAAACCTTTCCCTCCGGATGCCAGGTGTTGGTCACTCGCTCCCCCACACAAGCCAGTGGGGCACATCTCCTGAGCTGAGCTCCTTTGCAAAGAAAGCTTGAGAAGACATGAATCAAAGATGTCACTAAAAGATGATGATTTGTTAAAATTATAAAGCAACCGACTTTTGGCCTGCAAACATTCTACCTAAGCAATCTCCACTGCGGGGCGTCAGCCCCCCAAGACAATCTTATTCCGAATCCAGGACAGCTGACAAGCACATGGCACTGTTCCCCGCATGCTCGCTGGGCCAAGCCTGTACATTGACATGTACAACATACGGGACAGGACTTGAAACTCCCGTTCTCACAGAGGATCGTTAAGGAGTGTTACCAGTAACAAAGGATAAAAGTTATACCACGTTGATTATTATAAATTATATTTGTTCTTGTCCTCCCCACTCTCATTAATATGTTCAGATTCTTTCCTGCAGAAAGCACAAGTTTCCTATTCCACACCGGCTCCATCACTAGTGATGGTTCGAGTAAGCTGTAGAGGCCTTGATTCTGAAGACGTGTATGTGCAGGTGAGATGCGATCTGATTGCAGACGCTGACACAGTAGCGGATCAAATCAAACAAAGAGAAGACCTGGAACGAAACGAGACGATTAGAGTCACCTGACCTGCGTAGGCTACCCTCAGCTTACCAGTGCAGAGGCATGGCTTCTGGCTTTCTCCCTCTCTATTCAGAGTCACCCTCCCATCCATACAATTTAACACACCAGTACTCACTGATTCTTCCTTTACAGCAAGGATCAACAAACTCTTTCTTAGAGACACAGTCATTATTTCAGGCTTTGTCACGAATGCTCAGCTCTGCCATTGCTGCATGAACGCAGCCACAGATAATACATGCATGCATGACCATGGCTGTGTTCCAATAAAACTTTATTTACAAAACCAGGCCACTGACAGCCTGGGCATTGTTTGCCAACTCCTGCTTTATAGTCAGAAATATGGAATTAAAAATAATGTAGAAAATGGTTCAGAGATGAAGCCACAAGGAACAAAGTCCTATAAGTGAGGCTTTGACATTCCAAATCATTCCAATTGTAAGATCACTCTCTCAGGACTGGCCCACTGAAACAAGCAAGTAGCCTCCACATCATGAAATACAGTACCTACCAGGGCAATCCAAAGCACAATGTATTCATCGATGAAGCTGTTGAAATACTGATCCAGAAACAGAAGCGCTGGGCCTATGAAGGCTGTGTCGTGCAAGTGCATTTCACTCTTGGTCATGTGTGCCACCTAGGAAGCAAAGAGAACCAATAGCGTGGGTATTTCCATGTTGGAGCAACTGTGAGCTACACAGAAAACCTCATCAAGTCTCAAGAATTCTTCAGCAACCACGCTTCTCACCAGGAGCCTGGTGTGAGCGTCTAGACGGAGACGGAAGAATGCAGGTGAGCAAACTAAGCACGTGACACTGTGGAGAGAGAGGAGAGCCACGGTGGCTCAAGGAGCTCCTGGTAAGCCCGCTGTCGCTTCACAGAAGACACCAACAGCTCCCAGACTGATATCAGGAGATCCTGATCGGAGGAGAGCAAACTCGAGAACTTCTCGGGACACTAGGGGATGAAAACTATGGCCCTAACCCCAGAATAAGATGAAAATTAAAAACAAACAAAAACGTTCGTGCTTACCACAAGCTTATTGGTGATTTTAGCAGATACAAAACCAAATGTCAGTATATAAAGACAGGGATGCTTTTCAAAAAGCTGGACTGCGGACTTCTTGTAGATCATCACGGCTAACGTGATCACGGATCCGATGTGGAGGAAAGGAGAAAGGACACTTGTTCCCTGTGCAGGGCAGAGAGGAGGCGGATTAGTGGGATTCGATACCGACCAACTCAAGCTTTTAAGAACCTTGTGCAATCTGATAGCCAACAGTTTCTACAATGGAGCATCAGAACAGCTCAGGAGAAGCAGACCCTGGACTGGGGAGGCACAAACTGAGGAGCTCACTTTTAACGGGCCAGGCTTATTTTATAAATCAGGCCACACTTAAAAAATAATAATAATACTATAGGTGCATTAAGTTTGTGCATATCACAAAAATACAAGCATATCATTGTATGCATGTAAAATAAAACTGAAGTGTTGGATGTTACTATTTTTAAGACTAAGAGGAAACTCCTAGTTGACAAGTGATTTTATATAATTCAGTACAATTTTTATTGATTTCAGAGAAAGGGGGAGAGAGAGAAACAACAATGATGAGAGCATCATTGATCGGCTGCCTCCTGCATGCCCCCTTGCTGGGGATCGAGCCCGCATTCCAGGCATGTGCCCTGACCAGAACTGAACTGTGACTTCCTGGTTCATAGGTCAACGCTCAACCACTGAGCGATGCTGGCCGGGCGATTCCATATAATTCAGGGGAAAAAGCAAGTGACCCCCACACTGAGTCCTAGCATAAACCATCACTGGGAAGCACAAGCGATACTCACTGCGATCGTTGATCCATTTTTCCCAACACCACCTGTGAAGATTACACGGAAATAATTCGTACAGGAAAATATGGTCCCTGCGACAGTACAAAGTGCAGGAAAAATTTTCACTTGAATATTCAGCACTGGAATCTTTAATAGGCAGAGAGAAAGAGCAATTAAAATATAGACAAATTGAAATAGGAAGACAGAACAATCACATACTCAATTCATGTTCTGATTTATATTCTCCGTGCCCTCCAGTTTAGTAAATACTTAAACCAATGGAAGCTCCTCTCTCCTTTCCTTTATGAGCAATATAACAAGTCTCAGGAGATGAGGCTACACAGGAATTAATCTCACTGCAAAAAAAAAAAAATAAAATAACTGACCCAACTCACTTAATTTTCAGTCAGAAGCTATGTGTTGAACACATCCCAGAAGCCTGGCACAGTGAACTGGGCTGTCTCCTGGTGTTTTTAGCAAAAAAGAGTCTGTCTTTTTCTTTGTGCACTTTTTAAAAACTCTACCCCTACATCCGTAATTTGTTACTCATTGTTACGATCAAGTGTGGATGATGAAAGACTAAAAATATTTGCAACTGGATTGAAAACAAACATCTGTAAACTAGAGAATGGAAGACAAAAGTTCCCAAAGCCAAACTGTTAGGATGCAAGCAGCTAGGAAGCAGAGGGCACGTGAGAAGGCATTCACGCGTGGGGGACGAACATGGCAAGCACATCAAGTAGGAGAAGGACGGATTTAAAATAAGGAGGCCGAGTGGATTGAGATCATGTATTTAATCTTGCGAATACAAGTCCATCATTTAAAATGACACATACTTGCATTAATATTTAAAATCATTTAAGAATCTCTCCCTTCCTATACCTCCCCTGTAGCTTTTCTAAAGTCTCAAGTTTTGTCCAATATAGACGGAAAGAAAGCAACAATACAATAATGAGTCTAAACATAGAAATAAATGACCATAGGAACAAGATTCCAAAAAGCCCAGGCTTAGCAGGCAATGAGTTTTCACAATGAAAACAATTAATGAGAGCTGCTAATGCTTTTTAGGCTGCCATCTGCCTACACGTTTAAAAACAAAATGGAAAATCTGAGCTCTTCTATTTGTTCCTATGGATAAAACTGCAGTAAAATTAGTAGATGTAATTCTTGATGTTTAGACCCTCAATTTCTTCAAAATTCTTAAGACCTCTTTTTGTTTACACAACTCTATGACCTCTTGCAAAATTGCAACTCTAAAAAAAAAAAAAAAAAAAAAAAAAAAGTTGGAATCAACTGTTGGAGCTTCCAGTTGTACTGTGGTGGTGTTTACGCTTCTGACATGAAATAGGTCAACTTCAAAATCAAGCCAGACCTTTCTGGCCCATCCTCAATGCTGTCCTCCTTCCCTAACTGATCTCCAAGCCCTACAGGCCAATCCAAAACTTGTTTTCAACAAAAGAGAAAACCAACACCACGGCTGCTTGCATTCCAGGAGGTTTTTCTGCTCCGGCTACTGCAGAGGGAACCTGAGGCACCGGGCCGAAACTCCAAATGCGGGCCGGCTCTCTGTCCCCTCCCGGGACAAAGGCCCTGCCTGGCCAGAGGGAAACCCTACCCTCTCCCTCATTCCAGAGGCAGCCAGGCTCTGGGGGCCGGCCTGAGCGTGGGCCGGCGGAATGAGCGCCAAGGGCCGAGCGCTGCGGACAGCTGGCTGGACGGTGTCGCAGCTGTATGTGAAACCTGGAAAATGCTTCCGGACCAGGGAAATGGCAGCTTTTTGAAAGAAGAGGAAAGCCAGGCGCATCAGTAAGTGGCTTGGACCACAGAGTGAGCAAGCAAGAACAGACTCAGAAGCAAGTGCCGGAAACATGCCGAGGACGCTCTCTCCCGTCCTGTGAGACGGCTGCACACACCAGGACAAGCTCCTGGGGGAGGGCTGTGTTCCAGCTGATTTGTGTCCTCTCTCTAGAGCCCCACGTACTGCAGGGGCTCCACAGGCACCTGCTGGACGGAGACCTCCCTCTCTTCCTCTCGATGCGGAATCAGTTCTGAGGGAGTGTGAGGACACGCCGGGCCCACACTCAGGGCCCAGGGAAGCGAGCTGCCAGGAGACTGGCGGCAGAGTGAAGGGGAAGCAGGGGCCAGCGGAACCCCAAGCCTCTCCCGGGGATCCCTCCAACATCGGCACCAGCTGCTCCGCTTACAAAAAGCACCAGAAGTGTTGCCACTGTCACCTCACACCCAAGGTTAAGGAGGGTGGGCGCGTTCTGTCCTTCCCAGCCTCTCTCTCTGTCCTCCTGGGACCCATCCACAGTGGCCCAGGTGCACCCACTATGCAGGAACAGCCAGAGAGCTGCGCAAAGACCCTTTAGCTCGGGTCTCCAGGGCTTCGGAGCCTCCGAGACTGGCCAGGACAAGCTCTCCCCTGGGGCCTGGGGCCTGGCCCACAGCCAGGGAAAAACCCTCTGGTTCATGCCATGAAATGATGAATCCAAAGTAATGCCAATCTAATGTAATTTGTGTCTTAAAAGGTTGGAAATGGAAAAAGGATCTCAAACCCTCCAATGTACCAGACTAACAATGGACCCATGTTATGGTTCAATGGTTTGGGTTAATGTAGAATATCCGTTACTGTTACACTAGTTTTCTTAGGAGCGTAATAAAGTGTTCCTATAGGTTCTATAAATTTCAGCAAAAATAGAAAGTACTATTGAATATAGAAACGTTCTTTCAAAGAATGTGGACTATGACTATTTGTAAATACTTTTAATATAAGTGAATTCTTATGAAAAGACAATGCAACAATTAGTGTCCACCTTTTTAGTTTGAGAGTGAGATATAAATTACACCACCTATATGACTGCAGTTCTACCTAATGAATAAGGTGTGCCATGGCTTAATACACACACATTTAATCAACTAGGACATGTAATGAGAATCAAATGTCCGTGAAAGGAACCACGTGTGGATTATTCGTGGGTTCCCCTTCAAAGTTGTATGCAGCCCCCCCGACCCCCCCATTTCAAAAGAGTGATCCGATAACAGATAGTTTCCAGGAAGTCCAAACGGATCTATTCTTTTGGGAAGTAACACACACAAAAATGTGTTATTTTATTTCTTGCAACGTCAACCACACTCTAGTGGACTTTTGTGCATAAAATATTTTTTTCCTTAAAAAAAAAGAAAAAAGAAAAACAAGACAAAACATATCCAACCAAACCCAACCACCATGAACCACCACCGTGGTGAGAAGCGGTCTCTGTGACGAGGAGGAAGAGCGGCAGGAACGTGTGCTCCATACGCAGCGACACGGACCACTTACCTGTGCGGGAGCTGACCGCCTGCGATCAGCTTTGTGAAGACCTCGGCGCTATTTTTGTTTGCTGTAAATTTGCTTTCTGAATATTAGCAAAAGCTTTAGAATGAGATTTAGGAAGCATTTTTCCACTTTATGACATCAATCTCAGGAGAGATGGAAATGTCCTATCTCGGTCCTGAGCAAACCAGCTCTCCCTTTGGCACACAGAGAAGTGGGAGCACCGCACATGGTCATCCCTCCTGCACGAACAGATGCAGCAGATGCTTAGGGCCAAGAAGCAAGCGGTGATGTATAATGGCCTGGGTCAGTGATGGGACCCTCCTGGGGACAGCTCAAAGGACACAGAGCCTTTCTCTGCGCCCCCAAACAGCACCACGAGGTAAAGTCCTCCCCTTCTCCGGGGACGGTGACAGGAGGAACAGGGATGCGAATAAGACGGGGCATGGGCTTCCCTCTGCAACTGACCTCACTGACCCTGACACTGGACTGGTGGGTCCCTTGTAAAACAATTAAAGGATGATTAGACTTTCTTAATTATCAATAAAGATAGGGCAAAATATCTGATCCTTTAAGAAAAATTACATAAGTGATGTGTGCATAAATCCTAGTTTTAAAAAGGCAACAAAGTATACCTGCAACAAACTTACTGCCAGGCAAAAGCCCAAAACTGAGATGTGTGTGGCCTGAGAGGGTATGTAGCTTCCCGTACAACAGTGCTCACGTACTCATACTGGTAACTGGACGACGGGTGTACATACTTGATGCTGGCTTGTCTCTGGATGGTCAAGCCAGAATCCCATTTCCTTTTTGTCATCAGTGTGCTAAAACTGCAGTTATTTATCTGTTTAAGATATTCAAAATGCGGGTGGGGGGGTGTGGGGAGATTTGGGTGTAAAACACAAAGCCATATAACAAATATAAGTGGGGGTAGGTTTTAGAGGCTTTATGATCTAGTTTTAGAAAAAGAAAAAGCCTTCTTCTATGGCTGAATTATTTTTAAAATGCAGTGATATAAATTTGACATATTTAAAAAATAACTATTAACCTAGTGGAGAGTAAAAATAATAAAATTCCTTGATGAAATCCATAGATGTCAGATTTCACCAAAGACCGTATTACTCTGAGACTACATGGAGGAAAGGTGGATCTGAACGGTATTATGTACGTATTATGTGCATGACTGAATGTTTTCAAGCTTTTTCTGGTTGGCTGTGGATTAGTCTTATCCCTTCATCCCCCAAATAAAGGGCATTAGATAATTTCTGGCAACACATACTTAGGGGAGTGTGTTAATTTCACTTCTTTGGGTATCTAATTTACCAGCATAAAGTGACTGAGGGGAGGGGAAACTCCTGCTCGGTGAACTTCCTTTATACCTTAACATTAATCCGGCTTTTAAGAATTCTGTTTGTGCAGGAGCAGTAAACCTTTCTGGTAAGGTAACACCTGGTAAGTGACAAATACTGCATGGGCGGTGGGAGCGGTCGTGGACAAACTAGTTTGGATCAGATCCGGAGGTCATTCTAACCCTAAGAGCAGCAACATGTGAAACTTATTATGTGGTGGGCTCCGTTCTAAGAGCTTTACGCACATTTACTCATTTAATCCACAAAACCACCCGATGGGACGGAGGAGGGAGTCAGCAGCAGGGAGCGGACAGGTGAAGCCCCACAGGAGACTGGAGCTGGGCCCACTCAGGCAGGCGGGCTCCTGAGCCCGTGTTCTCCGCCTCCATGTCATGCAGAGCGCAGTCCCTCTCCCAGAGGCTTCTGGAAAAGAATCTGGGACTGCAGGGGAGCCTATATATTAGGTCAGGCTGAAAATCTAGGGTGTGGCTTGTTAAAAAAAAAACAAACAAAAAAAAACCTATGGCACTGGCTTCAATAGCATCTGTTCAGTTTTGGGGGCAGAGTTAACTTCTTAAATACCCCAAATTTGCCATTCAGCTCTAAGCATATGACAAAAAAAAATGAGTTCTGCCGAAGCCGGTTTGGCTCAGTGGCTAGAGCGTCGGCCTGCAGACTGAAAGGTCCAAGGTTCGATTCCGGTCAGGGGCATGTACCTTGGTTGCGGGCACATCCCCAGTTGGGGGTGTGCAGGAGGCAGCTGATCGATGTTTCTCTCATCGATGTTTCTAACTCTCTATCCCTCTCTCTTCCTCTGTAAAAAAATCAATAAAATATATTTTAAAAACAAAACAAAACAAAACCCTGAGTTCAGAAAGAGGATAAGCCTCGTCATTGGTTAACGCATACGCTCCCTGCCGCTTCCTCGGCTGTAACATGGAGGGACACGTCACAGTGGGAGGGCGCCTTGAAAACCAGCCCGGGGGGGGCCTCAGGCATCACGTGACTGTGCTGGTGCAATCCACCGGACCCTAGGGGGAAGTTGGGGTCTGACTGCTGTGTGTCTTTTGTTTTCAGAAAGAACCAAGTCATCTTACATTTCCCCCTGTAACCACGTTATCCTATGTTAGAAACACAAGCAAAACACAGCATGCATGACATGGGACACACAATGTGAACGGAATTACCATAGACTGCCAAAGAGGTGGGCCTCCGATCACTGCCAGCAAATGCATGGTTATTATGAAGATTTGCACTTCAGTCACATCAATTCTGATTAGGTACAAAAAGCCAGAAAAGCACAATTACTCAAAACAATTTCAAGTTCATTAGTTGCAAGCTTAGCAGCGTTCCTCTATCATGCACAATCGACACGAATCTCAAATAATCGAGGAAAGGGGAAGTGGTGTCACAAATTGGTTACGAGCAAAATCAAGTAAAATCCAGAGCCTTTTCATTGAATTTGATGAATTTCACAGAGCAATAAAAACCCCTCCTTTCCAAAGGGAGTTTCTGACTGAGGTTGGGCTGAAAACTAGAGCTTCACCTTTCCAACCAAAAAGAAAAAAAAACAAGTGTGTGTATTCAGTTTTGAGTGTCAAGCAGAGGGTTGCGCTGTGCCGCCGTCTCACACCAGATCTGGGGATGCGGCTTTGCAGCGTCCAGCGGAAGAAACAGGAGCTTTCACGGAGACCCTGAGCAACGGACTGCCCTGTAGACAGCCTCGTGTCCGGCCTCCCATGGCACGGGGGTGAAAAAAGTCTCCCCCAGGTGTCAGAGTCTCATGTTTATGAGGTCAACTGCCCTAAGATTTCTGGAAAGAAGACACTGAAAGCAGCCGAGAGTTAGCTTCGAGGTAGCTGGAAATGAAGGACCTTACACTCAGAGAGAGGCGAACCTGGTACAAAAACAGGGCAGCAGAAACGAGAAGGCCGAGAGTGTGGAAAAAAGAATTCGGGCAAAAAGACTGAGGAGCGAAGCCTACACGGGTCCCTCCCTGCCGGCACTCGGTCAGACCTGGAGGCTCTCACCTCGGAGGCCGGGATCCACAGGCCTCTGGATGCTCAGAACTGACCCTTCAGCTGTGCCTGCACAGTGTTCGCACACGGTGTCTCACCACCGTGTTATTTATAACAGTGAGTTAGACATGAGGGCGGGGTCCCAGAATGAGGGGCCTCCACGGGATATCTGGGAGCTTTTTTAAAGAGGGGGCAGCTCCCTACAGTGATATAGACACGTGAGAATGGCACATTAGGTAAAAACAAAAAACAGAACTATGCTCTAGATTGTGCCTGTGTTACTTTTCCTGTGTTAAAAAAATACTGTTTTTCCTTTTTGCCGTTAACGGTGCACCAAGTGCCTGGAAGGATAAAGCTTTAACTGAGAGCAGCAGCCACCTGGTGGAGGGCAGCGTGGGAAGAGGAGGCTGGGGGAGACTCACTGCCTACCTTTTGTATAACATTAGTTTTTAAACAAAGTGAATCTTTTATCTGTTAAGAAAGTAAACTTTTTTTTTAAGTCTAAAAAAATAGACATCAACAATGGCAAGGGGGTTCAAAGCCCAGAGCGGAGCCACGCACCCATTCCTAAAACTGACCCTGACAGTCAACAGGCTAAGGGCCGGAAGCTCTCACACCCACAGCGAGGAACTGGGTGGAAACCAGTCTCTCACCGCTAAGAAAAATGGATCTCTGTTTGCTCAAGAACGTTTTTCAAACAAGCTGATTAAGCTGCAAACATACAGGGATGCGGTTATCTGGATAGACACATTTTTTTGGAGCAATGGGCTGGATTAGGCTAAAAAGAATCCATAGCGCTGACCTGGTGAGTGGTGTTGCCAATAAGGAAAATTACACTCAGTAGCGGACTCAGGAGACTAAGCAGGTGTCAAAGATGATCGACTCTGTTTCAGGTGGAGGGCAGACATCTTACAACATTTTGCTGGACATGTGAAGTAGCCTTGTGGGAAGTGAAGGGCCAGAAGTATAGAATTACAAAATAAAAATGGAGGGAACCTCCTGCAATTATTTGTACCTCGGATACATGTAAAAGAGAATAGAAAACATGAAAGATCTGTACAAAGCCCCAAACTGGGATACCTACCACATGCTCTTGGTTCGAATTCCAACATGACTCGGTATTGAGTGAGGGTGCGAGGGGATTTAACTGACATTCGGTGTGAGTTGATAAGCATGTTAATCACCTTTGCCCAGAATGTTTCAAAGATATACTTGCAAATTTGCAAACATAGTTTTTTTTTTTTTTTCTTAAACTATACACAGCACATGTAATAGTGTTGTAATCTGGGCTGGCTACCAGCGTGGTTAACACAAGCGCTAGGGCTACATTTACCAAGCCAAAGAAACCCTGATTCGTACAGTTTGACTTGTGAGCCATTATTTCAAAAGCATTTTATTCAAAAAGTCAGTGAAGATGCCTGCAATCCTATTCAAAGATTAGAGTGCTAGTAACTACAGATTTGGAATAATTCATAAATGGACCTGAGGTGCTAGGGAACATGCATAACCAGAATACGGCATTCCTTAGGTGTGGTACCAGAAATACCATGGGTGGGGTGAAGTCTGGTAGCCTGGAGTAAAGATTAGCTCCAAATTCAATGCACTGCCTTCTGATATTTCACTTCCTGCCCTTGATAAGGGGCAAACTGGGCAAGGCAAGCTTAGGTTATAAGCTAAATAATGACTACCAGCACAGCTGAGTGATAACCATGAGTATTTTAAACTCAAGTGTTATATACAGAGAAAGTCTAAGTGTCTATTTCTGAGGTAGGCTAAATTATCTAAAACAATATTGTCTACCCCATGAATGACTGCCGGGAACTTTAGATGATCTTGGAAGACTTAAAACAAAAACAAAAAACAAACTGTCTAGTGACTTTGAGGAAGAAGAGAATAGCCAGGGGCCAGCACAGAGCAGGTCCTCCAAGAGAAACCCACGTTTGCTAAGGGGCAGCCAGTCCGGCTCATCCTGGAAAACCGTCCTCTCACTTCGCTGAGCAGTAATCTTGGAGTTAAATACAGGGATCCCACTCAAACTAGCACCATCAATTCCGAAGAAACCTGGAAACCACTGAGAGTTACTAACACAGGTCTGAAAATTAATACTAATGGTAATGACCACTTTACTATATGCCAGTCACTATAGTTAACATATTATTATTATTTTACTCTTACTCGTCAAAACCACGCTAGGAGGCAGACCTATTCCCACCATCCTATAGATGAGAAATTTAGTAAGACAGGCTAAATGATTTCCAACGGCCCGTGACAGAGACAGTAAGTGTTGTTCCTACGCAATGCTGACCAAACTCTTCTACATTTTAGACTGTGATCAACAAACGTCTGTCACGGGTGTTTAACTTGCTATCACTGAGATGTTTCTATGTTTCGGGACGATGCTTCTCATCTTCTAACACAATTTTCTCTAAAATGGTTCAACCCAACAGGCAATGGCTGACATAGGGAGTTTCGATGCTAATAAATGAAATTAATTTGGGAATACATTAGAAAGAAGCACTCGTTGTGAAGCTTATTTTCCCCCTGAACTCTGTAAGGAAAAAAAAAGTACATCTGACAATTTTATTTAAGTGAGCAAATCCGTTCAAGTGGCAAATACCAAAAGCAGGAGAAAACGTCTGCAGGTTCGCAGCAACTGGGGGAAGGGAAGGTGATGTGTGTGGAAGAAAAGCGTCTTCCATGTTCAAAGGAAAATGCATTCCTTTCCACAAACATTTTAACAGGAGGGACCTCTAACTACAGGGCCCTTAGTTATCACAGGTACACACGGTGAAAGTAAACAATACAGTCAGTATCATGACTGTGAATTTCATTAGGAATAGTGGTGGCAGTGACCTTTGGTGGATGTATATAATTAATAGTAACATTTGAGCTATGAAAAATGGTAAATCTAGACAACTGCAGTGAGCACGAAGCCTCACATCTTTGGAGAAAGTTCCAAAGAGAGGCGACCAGGAAAGGATGCTGAAGGGGACATCCTGAACATTATTCTACCCCAGAATGGAATTCCACAAGGAATTATAAAAATATATTGTGAAATCAATTGGAAATGGCTTCAGTTTTGTTCTTGAAACATGCCTGTAGTACTCAGTATTCTCCACATGCGAAATTTATTTGATGGGGGGAGGGGGGAAGAAAAGTTGTAGAATATCCCTCACTATTGGCTTGTCCCCAAAGTCATTGTTACTGCCACTGAATAACTAAATTTACAAAATAAACAGAACCTAAGCTCTATTTTTTTTTTTTTTTTTTTTGTAAATACACTCTTTCATTCTAAAGTGTGAAGGATGCCGAAGCCGGTTTGGCTCAGTGGTAGAGCATCGGTCTGCGAACTGAAAAAGTCCCAGGCTCGATTCCGGTCAAGGGCATGTACCTGGGTTGCGGGCACATTCCCAGTAGGGGGTGTGCAAGAGGCAGCTGGTCAATGTTTCTCTCTCATCGACGTTTCTAGTTCTCTATATCTCTCCTTTCCTCTCTGTAAAAAATCAATAAAAATATATTTAAAGTGTGAAGGATTCTGGCCTATTCTAGTGGTAAATAATTTCCTAATCAATCTTGAAATATTAAAAGTCATATGGTCAAAATCAGACTTCTAATATCTGAAGAAAAAGATACGTTATCCTTAGCATTAACTACAGAAATTTGTATTTAATATTAAAAAGCACACACCTGAAAAAGAAAGTAGTCAAAAGATGACTATAGTAACAGGAAAGCTAAAAGATACTTAGTTTTATAAGCACAAGAGAGGAAAATAGTAAACATAATAGAAGCAAGAACAGCTTGTAGCATTAATTTTTAAAAAACAAAATCACTGCACACAGAAGCAGAAGCACCAGGACTGCAGAGCTTAAGTGATACGCTAAGTAAGTGAAGAGAGTAAACGGATTTTTTTCTACATCGCTATAAAAAGTTCTTTTACTTATCTAAGGAAAACTCTGCTTGCTTTATTGTTTTCAAAATATAAATACCCAAAGAATTCTATTTCATGGTGGAAAGGTATTTGTTTTTAAAAATATTACATAGAGCAAAAAATATATAAGCAAATAAATAAAAATATTACATAGAGCAAAAATGATATTGGTTATAGTAGGTGAATGGGAGAGTTGTTTTTAGCATCAGATCATCAAAATATTATTTTTTAAAAATTTTGTTTAATAGGGTGGATTTTTATTGCCCTATTAGATATTAAAATTATTCGTTTTCTAATAATCTGTTTGCCTGTGAAATACCACCAGA